CTGCATGAAGCACTTCTGAGACTCCAATCCATTTGGTATTTATTTCTCTGTACTTTGCTCTTCCCTAAGCACATCCCTCTTTCCTTCATGGAATTACTCAGCAGTAATTACTGAAAGCTTAGTGCAGAAAATTTCCAGTACTCATATTTTTCTCCCTCCATGTTTGTGTAAGTCAAGATGATACAAAATAGATTTTTATCTTTTCAACTTGTATCCTGATAAAGTATTAAATGAGCAAAATACAATGAACAGAAATTACATTCATGGCCAGTGATTGTCCTGGTTTTAGTGACTGGAGGATCAGGGAGCATTTTATTCAGTAATTAGGTGTGGTGTATGCTAGCAGTAGAAATAAATTGCTTGTGTTTACCTGACAGGAATCTACTCCTCCTATGTCATATCCCGCACAGATCATATTCTCAGTAATACTATATTCTGGCATCCATTGTTGGCATTTTTCATTTGAAATGAGAGGGACCTCCGCTTCTTGCAATATATCTGAAGTGGGACCTGATGAAAATACAAAGTATGTTTATCTGCTGTGATAAATTTGTACATCCTGCTTGGAACACCGATGGTTTTGTTCCTGTTCCAGCATGCTGGGCATGCTACCGAGCAGCAGGAAGCCCTTCCTCACTGCTGTATTAATCAGGCTTATACCCCTGTAACACAGTCACTGATTAAATGGTGCTCATTAACTGAATCCTGTCTTTCATTTGTCTAATGGGACTGAATTTGGTTATAATTAAATCAAGATTACTAAAATCAATGACTATGAACTTGCTGTAGGGAGATCTAAGGGATAATTGAGGGGTTTAGGAGTTTGAACTGTTCAATGTTTCCTCACTATTCATTGCATAACTTTGAGTATTTCAAGTTTTTATTAAAAAATCTCTTACTAATTCCTACCTAACATTTTAAATGCAATTTTATTCTGAAAATGTAGAAGCAAATGCATGCAAGCAACTGTGGAAGTGAAATGACATGTTTATTATTTCACAGAGACTCCAAATCTGGTGCATGTGTTATACAAACAGAACACACATTTCACTCTACAGTCAGTATTCTTGACTTCTGGGGAAAATCATTTACACATTGTCAAAAAGACTAATCTTCCTTCTCCCCCACCCAATATCTGGAAATAAGATGTACATAGTTCATACTGAGAAAAGTAGTCATCATCACTTCTAAGGGGATGCAATAAGGTTTTTTCATAATTTAACAATCTTAGATATATATATTTTTTTTCTAATAAATATTTTATTACTCTGTTACTTTGCTTTAGAGAAGGAGCAGTGGAGGGGGATACTTCCCAAATTCTCATATGGAGGAGTACCTCTCTAAAGTATTCAACCTTGGCAATCCCTGTGGAATCAGGAGCAAGCTCTCCCTGATGGCTTTGTGCCTGCCATAATTTTCCAAGCAGATGACCCACCTTCGTTCATAATATTACCCCAGCCAGCAATCCAGCAGTTAATTCCTGGTAAAAACTGTTGATTTTTTTCTGGTAAGCAGATAGGTTGTATGTAATCTGTGAATGAGAAACAATCAATCAATTTCAACCTCTTCCCTATATTCAGGTGTTTATGAAGTAGCATAAGAAAGTGTTCATTAATTCAAACCCACTTTTTGAGCAAGATATCCTGGCAGTACTGGACTGACTCCAGAATGATTAGGTTGTAAAAAATGTACAGCCACTCCATAACCCTTACATGCTTAGCACAGTTAGAGTTTTGCATAATAGAGTAAATCTGTTTTATGGGAAAAAAAACAACTCACCTCTATATTGCACTTTGTGTTGAAGGTGCATGAGAGCAATATCACTATCTTTGGTACGCTTCATGTAATGAGGATTTATAACTATTTGATCAATGTTTTGAATTACTGTTGAAGGTTCTGTCATATCTGATTGGTCATACAAGCCAAGAGCTACTTTCCATTGAGATGGTTTTAATTGCCTCCTAGAAGTTACAAGGGATAAGCAAAATTATGTGTGATTAATTAAAGTTTTGAAAAATATGTTAGGAAAAATGCTAGTCTTTTAACATCATGGTAATTCATAGCATTTGCACATTTTGTCAAAATAAATAGAATGTAGTGGATGTGCTAACAATTTTGTGATGGTAATGCTATCTTAAATATCCACACTGTAGAAATACATGGTTGATTTTTTATGTTAAGCTTATGATGCATTATTTATAAAGAATTAATCAGTAGTGCAGAGGAATAAAATACAAAATTACTATGGATTTTTGAACACTGTGAAGGATACTACTGACTTCCCACCAGCCAATTAATATTGGCCTCAGTTAGGAAATTGTTATGGAATATCTAAAGAATAATAGGTCTAAAATGTCGTTGGAAATACTGCAGCTCATAGACTAAAAAAACTGGTCTCTTAATTTTTTAACCTAAATCAAAAAAGACATGCTAAGAAAAAATATAACATAACCTGGATTTTTTTGCTGAGCTATGGATGCTGGTTTGAGGCTGTATTTAAGTTAACTTAATTATTTGCTATTTTTTAATCAGCCAGTTCATGGTTTCAAAAAT